ACTTTGTTTTATTTTATTTATATTTTGAGAGTCTTGCTAAATCACTAAGGTGTCTCTTGTGATCCTTCTGTCTTAGCCTCTCAGAATGCCTGATAGGATTATAGGCTTGTACCACCACAGCCAGCTGGAAAATATCTTATTCCAGAATGCAGTAAGAGTTAATGAAGGCTTAATTAATTATGGTGTCTAGCTAGCAAATGATCTCATAAAGTCTCCCAGCCCTGTATCCCCCAAATCTCCAATTCCAGAAAAATCAGGTCTTCTTAACAAAGGTAATCAGAAAAGTCTAGTTGAAAAGAAGTTGTAGGGCCAGGCAAATAACTCAGTGACACAGCACCTGCCTGGCAAGCACAAGTCCTGAGTTCAGTTCCCATTGCCGAAAAGAAAGAAAGAAAGAAACAAACAAACAAACAAAAGGCGTCTGAGAAACATAGGAAACAGCTGATATTTGAGGTTTTCTATACTTTATAAAATTCCCATTCTTCCTAGAGTATTTAATATTTTGATAGGTAATTAATAACTTTTAGAGTTTGGAAGAGGTCTATTTTTTTTTTTTTTTTTTTGGTACTGGGGATTGAACCATGACCTCACACTTGGCAGGCAAGCACTTACATCACTAAGCTAAATCCCCAGCCCGAAAGAGGTCTCTTTCCACCACTTTTGTTTAACTGGGCTTACCTTTCTGTATCATCATATATTCAACCAACTATTCAACTGTTTTTTTGGAGGGGCCTGAGGGGTAGAGCCCAATCTGCTGTCTAGTACGTGTAGTCAGACCAGTCCCATCTGTACCTTGAAGTTCTGATGTTAAAGTCACAGGTGGAGCCTCTCCAAGCCATCTTTTGAGCTGTAAGAAACTGCACAACATCATTCCAGGACTATTTTATAATTACTGAATTTTAGAATTAATCAGTGTGGGCGTGCTTAGGGTTCATTTAGTTCTCACCTAGTTGTAAAGATTTAAATGAGAGAAAATAAAAATCCCACACAAATAATAAGTACTCAGTAAATGTTACCCTGAATATAATCTACAGTTGGTAAAAAAGAAACCAGGTGAAATGAAATGACTTGCCCAGTGCCATTCACTAGTTAATGGTTAGGTCTTGCTTAGACTTCAGATCTCATTCTTCCTAACTTACTTTAATTCACATTTCTCCCTTAAAGCAGACGATTGTAATGTCAAAAGGAGGAGGCTGACTCAGTGGACCAGTGATTATTTATGTACCCGCAGGGTGCCTGGCACTCTGCTGACTCTAGAATAGAGGAGGTGGGAGGGCCTTAGGGGAAGGAACAGGTAGCCAGTAGGTGGAGTGGGGCAGAATGGAACACTGGGAGGTCCAGGCCTACCCTGTGTGACTATTTTATTTCCTTTAGGGGTCAGCCCTTTGAGACAACATAATGTGACATAAAGAGTGTAGTTATTGGAATTATCCCAGGGTTTGAATTTTCATTATTATGACACTCTGCTCAAGCCCATCCATGGCTGGCCATTTAATTAAAACTCAAGTACTTATAACTGTTTAAACGCCCTGTATATTGCCAGACGTGCTGGTGCACGCCTACAATCCCAGTGCTTGGGAGGCTGAGACAGGAGGATTGCTGGGAGTTGGAGGCCAACCTAGGATACATTGTGAGTTCAAGGCCAGCCTGGACTGCACAGTGAAACCTTGTCTCAATAAATAAATAAATGAATGAATGAATGAATGAATGTATGTATGTATGTATGTATGTTTGCCACCATCGCCCAGCTACTGGATCTTTCAATTCCTTTAGACTTTGATGGTGACATCTTCTCAGAGAGGTTTCTCCGAACACCCTACATAAACTTTGCCTACCTCTTCATTCCAGCCCTCACCTGAGTTTATTTTTCTTTATACCACTTATCTCCACTCGATAGATGTTTATTGTGTGTCTCAGAAAATGTAAGCTTCTTGAGAACAAGTGTCTTGCAGGGCATAGAACAGTATAGAGCAAGTACTCCACTGTGAATCAATGAGTGAGTAAATGAATGAGTTCTGTAACTTATGTGCCTCATTGTACCTATGACATTGAATCATCAAGATATGGATGCTTACTTAAAGCATTGTTGGTGTAAAATAAAATATTTATCAAATGCCCAGCTCTGGGTCATAGTAAATGCTCAGCATGCTAATACCTACCCTTGTTCATAAGTTATTTTTTATGACTGTCTAGTTGATAGCTTTAGTGATAGGCTGGCTCATTTAACTTATAGATAAAGACATCCCCCATGTTAGTGATGAACAAAAATGGCTACTTAGATCTTAAAGCCGTATTAGCAGAACACAGTAATTATAGTGTTTGCCTTTTCCTATAGAACTGTTAAGTTATAAGTAAACCCTACTTGATAGAATAGGTATACTTTAGGGAAGTTTTGTGAAAAGGCAAATATTTAATTGAGTAAATACTGTATTTCCACTGCAGAATTGGAGTTCCTAGTTTTGCAGGAAAAAGGTCAAAATAAGATGAAGTCATAATCTAAAGTGTTATAAACCTGTGTATCTGGGTTTTTTAGTTTAGTTTTGTTTTGTCTAGCCAAAAGACAGTCTTCTTTGTGAGTACCTTTCCTATATTTTTCTGGATTAATGTCGAAGTTTCACTTGTGAAATACCAGAGTGCTAAATGGCTGGCTTTGTGGACAATGAGGAAATTGATGTATCCTGCATAATTTGAGAACATTATAAGGACAGTATACATATAGTGTTTCTAAATCCAATAAAAAAGAATGCACACTTATAAGAATTTTGAAGCTTAAAATTAATTATTTCAGATATACTTTATGGTAATGGTACTCTTTAACAGAATGTTGTGGTCACAGTCATAATCTTATCCTTAATTTGGTCACCAATTTTTTTTTTTTTTAAACAAAAGCCAGGCATTGTGGCGTATTCCTATAATCCCAGCACTTGGGAGGCTGAGGCAGGCAGGAGGATCGTTGCAAGTTTGAGACCAGCCTGGGCTACAAAGTGAGCTCAAGGCCTGCCTGACTTCACAGTGAGACCCTGTTTCAAAAACACATACACCAAAACAAAAACAAAAAACCCCAAACAAAACAAAAAAGAAAACTAAATTTTATTCAGTACCAGTTACTTAAGAGTAACAATGACATGCTAGTAGCCTCCAAGTCTGAGAAGTCTTGTCAGATAAAAACCTAATTCATTGCTGAATGACTACTATAGCCCTTACCAGTATGTACAAGTTATTTTTCCTCAATCATTGCATCATGAATGCTGCAAACAAAAACTTTCAGAGTAAAAAATATGTAGGTTTATGCCAGGTGCGGTGGTATATATCTGAAATCTCAGCATTTGAAAGGCTGAGACAGGATGATCACTGCAAGTTCAAGGCTGGCCTCGGCTAAAGGCCATCCTTAATTACATGGTGACACCCTGTCTCAAAAAACAAAGCAACTTTAAGAGATAACAACACTACTGTCATAAAGTTCTGTTAAAACTTGAAGATAAGAATGTTACCTGGGCAGAGTACTCTTATTAGTGTGTTTTGTACTTTAGCTACTGGTAATAAAAGACAATGGCTGCTCTTAAAAGCAAGCAGGCAAAGAAGAAGAAGTGTAATCAGAGTGTAATCAGTATAGAGTGCTTGCTTAGCACAGGCAAAACCCTTGGTTCAGTCCTAACTCTGGAAAACAAACAAAAAAAGTGCAAGAAACCATACAACTAACTTCTAACTTCTGTGAATTGTATGCTAATGCCTCCCTTTGTTCATAACTTACCTTCCACTAAAAAGAAAATGGAAAGCAAGCTGCCAAAGAAATCATGTACTCTGTTCTCTATTGCAGTAATGAGTGAAGGATATGATGATCAGATTCCCAGGCAGACTGGTATTAGAGTGTTTCTTCCTATTGAAAGTTGGTCAGTGCCTCTGAACTTCTGCTTTCTTGTTCCAGTCCATGTGTTTAAATGTCCAGGATTCAACCATTATTGGTCCTAGTCTTAGCAAAATAATCTAGGAAAAGGTAGAGGGTGGAACAAAACCACATATTTGATTATTTCACAGCGTAGACAGCATAGCATGGTTGAAAGACTCCATGGGAATCTGATATATTTGGGATTGAATTTTTGCCCTGCTTCTTTTTTTTTTTTTTTTTTACACTTTTTTTTTTCCTTTTTCTTTTTATCGGTACCAAGGATTGAACTCATGACCGCCTGCTTGCAAGGCAGGTGCTTATGGCCGCTGAGCTAAATCCCCAGCCCCTACCCTGCTTCTTATAGAAATACTTACTCTCACTATATTTCTTTATGTCAAAAATTACGATTCATGTTTGGACCCAGAGCTTTTGTAGTGAGATGCACCCCCAGCCTTTTTTGAATTTTTTATTTTAATAGGGTCTCACTAAGCCTCTAAGTTGCTGGATTTTAGCTTGTGATCCTCCTGCTTCAGCCTCCTAGAGTGTTGTAGTTACAGGCATGTAGCACCACGTCCAGTATTGGTAACTTATTTATTAATAATAAATGTACGGGGGCTGGGGATTTAGCTCAGCCGCATAAGCACCTGCCTTGCAAGCAGGCAGTCGTGAGTTCGATCCCCGGTACTGATTAAAAAAAAAAAAAAAAAAAAGTTAAAAAAAAAAATGTACGTTGCCTTTTCAAAAATATTTGCTGTAGAAAAATTAGTATATGTTAGTGGATTTAAATTTTTTGTTGTTGTGAATTGATGTTTGGTATCTATACTCTTCCAAAGGTAATGACTTTTTCTTTCTTTTTTTATGTTAGGTATTAGGGATCAAATTCAGAACCGAAGTCATTCCAAGCTAAATTCTATTAGTAACAGTTACTCTGTAGCTGAAACTTACAGTTTTTGGAGGAATGCCTAAGCCAAGGTTTTGATCATAGCATGGTTTTGGTTAGTTGTATGTACTTATTCAGGATGTGGACAGACCAGTGGTTTGAGAAGTAGGGGCTTATGATGAATGTATTTACCTTTTAAATAAATCTTTCTCTCCCTCCCCCTCACCTTCCCAGCTGCTCAGATAAAGAATTTGATGAGCCAACTAGGAACGAAGCAGGACTCAAGCAAGCTACAAGAGAATCTGTGAGTTTTCAACCAGTGCTAGATTTTGTGGGGCCCATGGAGGGTGCTCAAGTGTCCTCTCTGCCCTCTGTGGCAGCCCTGGTTTCAGTCTTTGGAGCCAGAAAAAAAGCAATGGATCGTGAGGAAACAGCTGGATCCTGAAGGGAGCAACAAGTATATGCATGGATTCAGGTTTCCACTGCCTCTTGATGGTCTGACTGCTTATTTCTTTCCTTGGTTACTTTAGCAGAACAGTTTAAAGAGGTAGAAAAGGAAACTTACAGCTCTTCACCTATTCTGCTCACAGTTCATATTGTTGGCATGGGACTGCTGCTGATCTAGTTTATAGCTGGATTTCCAGCTCTATATAAAACTAGAAAATCTGCTCAGAATGACTCAAGGGCAGCCTGAGGGATAGAATAGTGTACTAGTAGTGGAACTCCTGATTCTTTTTATTTTTTTATGGTACCGGGTATTGAACTCACAATCTCATGCTTGCCAGGCAGGTGCATATGCCGCTGAGCGAAATCCCCAGTCCTCATGATACTTTTTTAGTCACATTCTTTTTTACTCTGTGCTTGCGCTCTTCTCTCTCTCTCTCTCTCTCTCTCTCTCTCTCTCTCTCTCTCTCTCTCGTGACACAAGATCTCACTATGTAATTCAGGCTGGCCTCAAACTCAAGGTGATCCTTCTGCTTTGCCTCCTGAGTGCTGGGATTACTGGTGTGTACCAGCACATCTGGTTTGTTCCTGGTTTTAAACCTTCATTCCTCGTCATTAAAGTATACTGAGCAATTTTCTTTGTTTTCTGTTCTAGACATTGTAAAGTGAGAGAGTAACTGTTGTTACTGTGAACTTTTTCCAGAGAGATGTGAACTATCTCTGAATATTTTAATCCTGTCTGAGCTGTTTCTGGCATCTGATTGACCCCTTCTTCTTTGCTTTTGTGTTTTCTTTCTTCTTTTTTTGATACTGGGAATCAAATTCATGACTTTACGCTTGCCAGGCAGACACTTACACCGCTAAGCTAAATTCCTGGCCCTCTTTCTTTTCTTTTCTTTTTTGTTTTTTGTTTTTGGTACTGAGGATCAAACTCATGACCTTGTGCTTGCCAAGCAGGCGCTTATGCCACTGAGCTAAACCCCTGTCCCCTCTTCTTTGTTTTTCATTTTTCCTCTCTTTCTGAATCTTGGAGGCCTATTTGCAGTAGAAAACATTAATAGTTACTATTGTGGTATCTTAGTTCATTAAGGCTGTTAATCACAAAACACTGTAAGCCAGGTAGTTTATAAACCATAGAAATGTATTGTTCATAGTTATAGAGGCTGGGAAGTACGAGGACAGGGTGGTGGCAGGTGCACTGGTAATGAGGTCCCACTTTTTCTCAGTGATCTTTTTGAGACAAAGTTTTGCAGTTTTGCTATGCAGTTCAGGCTGGCCTTCAACTCACTTTGTAGTCCAGGCTGGCATCGAACTTGAAGCAATCCTCCTGTCTAAGCCTGAGTGCTAGGATTACAGGTAGAGGGTAGGTTTGTCTGGAGACTGTTTCTGAAATCCTGTGGTGAAGTGGACATTAAGGGACCCATTTATTCAAAAGGTCTTGATTTCCTGTGTTACAAGACACTCTGAGAACAAAGTAATAACCCAGTATGATAGCTCTCACAACATCCTGAAACTTATCTTTTCTGTCTTAGGCAACAGTTACAGCACTCCACGAATCAACTTGCCAAGGAAACAAATGAATTGCTGAAGGAATTAGGGTCCTTGCCCCTTCCCTTATCTACTTCAGAGCAGGTTAGTAATTTCTTTTTTTCTGTGTTTATTATAAAAACTTCACTTTGGTAAAAAGAAAAAAAAAACAGTACATGAAACAAAAATAAGTTGGCTTTTTGTGCTAGATGTATCGTCTCTGAACCTGTTTTCTGATCTATTAAAGTGGTGTAATATAACTGGTGGGCCAATAGAAAATGTGTGCACTGATAGGGTAGTGTGCCCGGCATTCAGGAAGTGCCCCACGTTTGGGGATACTGCTGTCATTAACATTAAGATTCTGGAGTGAGCTGGAGATGAACCTCAGTGTTTGCAGCTCTTTGGGTTTGACTAGCAGCCGTTTATTTACAGGTGTGGTCTGACCAGTATCTACCCATTTTAATCAAACATCTTATTTTCCTGTTTGCAATAGGACCTTTGTATCCCACGAAGGTCATTCATAGGTCATAGGGTAAGGAAGTGCTCAGTGAAGGTATCTCTTTTCAAGTCATTTTACTCAGTGGCCATTTAAGTTCTGTAACATGGTCCCACTGGCTTGAGCCACCAGTGGTGCATGCATGACTGACATGTATGAGTGTCCTATCATGTGGCATAGGACAGTCTCATTGGCTGGTACAAAGCCATCTAGCAGTAAAAGGTACCGATTATAGCCCCATAGTGGATGTGTTAAATGCACACAACCTTTACACGCATTCATTATTCCGTTCATAAGCTATATCTTCCTTCATTCCTGAAGCTAGATATGTCTGCTCCTTTATGGATACTTAACTTTTACATCCTTCATAGTCTACCCTCAGGAAAAGACCTTGCCCATTGTCTGTTGAGCTTTTAGCTTCTGTACCACTCAAAGAGTCACTTCTATAACTTTCATTCATTTATTTATTTAGTTGCATTTATGTATTTATTGGTCTTTTTGAGACAGTATCTCATTATGCAATTCAGGTTGGCCTTGAACTCACAGCGATCCTCCTACCTCAGCCTCCTGAGTGCTGGGATTACAGGTTTATGCCACCACATGCAGCATAGCTTTTATTATTGAGCTTTTAAAATAGCATCTTATTTTAGATGGTTCTGAAGACATAGACTTCAGCTTCTGGGTTTTTCAAACTTTTTGGCTTATGCCTCTTGGAACATGAAACCATTTTAATGTGTTATGAGCAGTATTTTTAAAAACTAAAATAGAGTAGAAATATCAGAGTGTATAAGGGTAATTATCACATGAAACTTTTATTTCTTACTTTGTAAGACAGCTCTCAAGAGCCAGGTGTGGTGGCTCACACCTGTAATCCTGGCACTCAGGAGGCTGAGACAGGAGAACTGTTGCAAGTTTGAGACCAGCTTGGGCTACAAAGTGAGCTCAAGGCCTGCCCGAACTGCATAGAGACCCTGTCTCAAAAAAAAAAAAAAGCTGTCAAGAAGTCACAACATATGTATTATGTATATATATTAATTCTTACTGTGGGTCTCTATCACAAAAGTTTGGAAAGCACTAGTTTAACTTAGCAAGCTGTTTAGTGTAGCATGGTTCAGTCTTGAAATTTTTGTACCTTTGACATTAAAAGAGGAGCCAAAGCCAGCTGTGGTGGCACATGCCTATAATCCCAGCATTTGGGAGGCTGTGGCAAAAAGATCACTACAAATTTAAGGCCAGCCTGGCTACATAGTAAGTTCAGTTTTTTTCTTTTTTTTTTGTGACAGGCTCTCATTATGTAGTGCAGGCTGGCCTTGAACCCCAGGCTGGCTTCAAATTCAGTGATCCTCCTTGCCTCAACCTCCGGAATACTCACAGTGAGTTTAAGGCCAGCATGAATTAAATAGTGAGAGACCCCATCTCAAAAAACCAAAAAAAAAAAAAAAAAAGGAAGCCAAGACTAGTGGCTTTGTTTTCCTCCTACAAAATAGTTATGATAAAATGTAATCTTAGTGTAATTACCCTCCAGTGATCTGTGTATGGATCATTATTTTTGTTATGCCTGATGACATTTTAGTTACAATACTCCTTTCCAACCCGTACCTCCAGCTGCTTCCAGATTATCCCTTTCCTCCTCCTAGCCATGCACTTAGGGAAGACACATTTGCAGATAGATTTCATAGTAATGAAAAAGGAGTCTAAGTGTCTGGTGCAGAGTATAAGTATCTAAGGGTTAAATAGCAGCCTAAGCAAAATATAAATAGCAAGTTAAATCTACAACCAGTATAAATTCATCTAATGTGTTCCAAAACCAATAGAAGTTATTTTTGGATTATGCATACTATTGTTTTCTTCCATTAGCTTGGATCATTAAGAACACAAAATAGATCTATCAGTGTACTCTCCTGGGTGACATCTGATTCCTTGATCCCCTCTCTGCTATTGTGCAGAGTACCTTTTTGTCTTTCTTTTTTTCTACATCTTTATCTTGTATCCATCACCCATCTTTTCATTATTGTCAAACCATACGCCCTACAAGTTTCCCTCCATATCTGTGTACTATTACCCATAACTGTCCAGTTTTCAAACTCTTATTTTATTTTATTTGTCTTTTTCTTTTTTATCAGTACTGGGGATCGAACTCACCACTGCCTGCTTGCAAGGCAGGCGCTTATGCCACTGAGCTAAATCCCCAGCCCCACCCTTGTCTTTTTTTAATTCATGTTTCTTTCGAATCCTCTTGCTCATTCTATTTCCATTGACATTTTCTTCTTTCTGTGATTCTCTTCTGTACTGTCTCCCACTTTGCCGATTCCTGGGTTGAGTCTCAGCCTCCTTCCTGGACCCTGTTGCTCCAGGAGAGGGCAAGTTCTAAGCCTTGCCATGGACCCTCAGATTTCCAGATTCTATTCTTTCTCCCTGGAGAGCCTTATCTACTTTTGTGACCTCCCTACCACCCTCATGATCGTGACCCTTAGATCTTTTTCCAGCTGTGGCTAACCTCCAAGTACTTGACCTAATTCACCTGTTCCCATTCTGTTATTTTCCTCTGGAATATTTTACCTGCATATAAAACTTGACATGGTATTTTATATGTAATTACTCATTAAAACCCCTGAAATAAATTGACTGACAATAATTGTCATGGTAAAAGAGTTTGTGGCTCTCTGCCTCCTGTCCGCCATGTCTTGAGCAGATTTTCTTTGTCAAGCCCTTCTGCCTACTGTCTCTGCTTTGGGGCATCCAGCTATGGGTTGAATCCTCTGCATCTTTCAGCCAAAATAAGCTCTCCTCTTAAAAAGAAATAGAGAGGGGGCTGGGGATTTAGCTCAGCGGCATAAGTGCCTGCCTTGCAAGCAGCAGTTGTAAGTTCGATCCCCGGTACCGATAAAAAGGAAAAAAAAAAGAAAAAGAAAAACCCTTCGTACTTTTGATATACTAGTTTCATTTATCCAAATTTGTCCAAAGGACAAAAAATGTACCTGGAGCCAAATGTAAATATGACTGTTACAGTGGGCTGGGGATTTAGCTCAGTGGCATAAGCGCCTGCCTTGCAAGCAAGCAGTTGTGAGTTCGATCCCTGGTACCGATAAAAAATGAAAAAGACAAAAAAAAATGAGGGAACAGTGGGGCTCACTTTAGCTTTATTCACAATAGTTAAAAACCGGGAACAGGGGCTGGGGATTTAGCTCAGCGGCATAAGCGCCTGCCTTGCAAGCAGGCAGTTGTGAGTTCCATCCCTGGTACCAATAAAAAGGGAAAAGACAAAAACAAAACAAAACAAACAAACAAAAAACCCCGGGAACAATTACTAGAAATGTTAATTTAAAATTCACTAGATGAAGCCCGGTGTGGTAGTAAACACTTGTAATTCTAGCACTCAGGAGGCTGAGGCAAGAGGATTTCTGGGAGTTCAAGGGCAGCCTGAACTACATAGCATAAAATAAAATTTAAGAAAATTTCCTAGATTAACTTGGTGGAATATATGTAACAAAGATTATAATTGTGAAGAGTATAGTAACATGGAATGTTTATGCTATCCTTAAAATACAGTGTTTTGAGGCTGGGTGTGTGGCTTGATGATAGAGCACAGGCCTAGCATGCAAGAGGCCTAAGGTTCTATCCAAATTTTTTTTTTTGTCTTTTTCCTTTTCATCGGTACTGGGATCGAACTCACGACTGCCTGCTTGCAAGGCAGGCGCTTATGCTGCTGAGCTAAATCCCCAGCCCCCTCTATCCAAAATTTTTAAAAAAAGTGTTCTTGCCTGGCAAGATTTTCCCTTTGATGTTATATTATTGTCATTCTTGACTGCCCCTCTTCCTTACCAGTTATTAAGTCATAATGCTCTTAAATTTCCCTGTAGACTGATACTATGGTCTTCCAATCTTAAACCTATACTATTGTAGTAAATTTTTTTTTTTTTTTTTGGTGGAATTTGAGGATTGAACCCTGGGCTACATGCATTCTAGACAAGTGCCCCATCCCAGAGTTCCATCCTTAGCTCTACTAGAATATTTTTACTCTTTTCTTTTTTCCTTTCTACCTGGTGTGCCACCAAGGACTAGTTTTTCTGAGTTACCAGGTTGGAACTGTCATCTTCATTGTTCCAAAGTCTTCATTTAAAAAAAAAAAAAAAAGTTTTCATTTAGAGATTGAATCCTCAACTCATTGTTAGCTTAAGATTTAGTGCCACCTTTTTTTTTTTTTTTCCCTTCTTCTTTTTTCCAGTACCAGGGATTGAACTCACAACCGCCTGCTTGCAAGGCAGGTACTTATGCCGCTGAGCTAAATCCCCAGCCCTGAGAGTCTATTTTTTAAGTAATTTTTCTAGTTGGAAATTTTTAAGGGTATAATTTTGTTTTTAACGGGAATTGAAGTCTTAAATAATCTGGGTTAATATGGAATTTCCACTTCTTGCTTAATTTCCTTAGCGCCAGCAGAAACTTCAGAAGGAACGCCTCATGAATGACTTCTCTGCAGCCTTAAACAGTTTCCAGGCGGTGCAGAGGAGGGTATCGGAGAAGGAAAAGGAGAGTATTGCGAGGGCTAGAGCTGGATCACGTCTTTCTGTAAGTCGATTCTCCAGATCTCTGCAATTTCAGGGTTTGTTTTCCCAATAATCCCCAACTCTTACACCACTGGTCTTTGTTTACTCTTCTCTAAAATAAAACATACACATGAGCTAGTGTGAAAATGTTAGATTTGGGGGGCTGGGGATTTACCTCAGTGGCATAAGCGCCTGCCTTGCAAGCATGTGGTCAGTTCGATCCCCGGTACCAGTTTAAAAAAAAAAATGTCACATTTGTGTGACCTGTGTAAAAAGTATGTAGACAATTGAAGGATAGCCTGAAACATGCACAAGAGTTAAGGATACGGAAGCTAGAGTTACATGCAATTTTTTTTTGAGTTTGTTGTATTGGTCTTACATTTTTTAAAAAAGAATCAGCTTCCTGGAATATAGTATGTTAGAATTATCAAAATCTGGAATTTAAAAACCAACTTCAGGGGCTGGGGATTTAGCTCAGCGGCATAAGCACCTGCCTTGCAAGCAGGCGGTCGTGAGTTCGATCCCTGGTACCGATAAAAATGAAAAAGACAAAAAAATAAAAAAAAAAATAAATAAAAAAAAAATAAAAACCAACTTCACAGTAGCAAAGACTCATGAAAATACTAATGTTAAAAATCTCAGCGAGAGGTAAGCAGTACACTGTGCTGAGTCTGCACTGGATATGTTTGCCGGGACAGACTTCAGCTTCAGGTTTGATGCCCTCAGGGGATGAAGAGGATAAAAGTCAAAGCCTAGGGTCCATGTGAGGTGGAGGATATAAAAAATTCTCTTTAAAGTAGGGTGGATTTTAAAAGATTATATCCTTGGGGTAAGCCAAAAGTAATCTCTCTCCTCCAGTAATCTACAAAAAGGTTACTTTAGCACTGAACTGAGCAGGTATAGAGAAGGACAGAAGGGAAGGGAAGAGACACAGTCACCTTCAGGCAGGTACACTCTATTGCCCAAATTTACACCACCTGGGTGGTCCAAAGCTTTAGGTTTCAAGTGGACCTGGAAGGAATCTCTCCATTAGTTCCTCAAGTGCATGCCTAGCACCTAATTAAAAATTGTACATGGGCTGGGGATTTAGCTCAGCGGCATAAGCGCCTGCCTTACAAGCAGGCAGTCGTGAGTTCGATCCCCGGTACCGATAAAAAAAAAAAAAAGAAAAAGACAAAAATTGTACATACAGACAGGTGTGATAATGCACATCTTAATCCCAGCACTCTAGAGGCTGGAGCAGGAGGGTCACCATGAGTTCCAGACCAGCCTAGGCCACAAAGCAAGACTATCTTCCAAAAAACAAAACAAAACAAAAAACATGCAAAGAACAAATTTAAAAAATAAACAAGCTGGGAAGATGGAGCAGTAAGCAGCAGCAAAAACAGTCTCTCTGAGAGTCACCATCCAGACACTGGAACATAACATTACAAGGAAGACAAGAAGGAAGGAAGTGGGTAGGAAGAGTCTGAAGAGTGAATTGAAGTCCACAGAGAGAGTAAAAAGAAAAACTTCAATGAAGAAGGTGGTAGCTGGTAGCAGGACTCACTGTGGGAGTGGAGCTGTTAGAACCTGGGGCTGCAGTCATGGTGATGGTGGCAGCTGGTGACCCCAAAGGCCTCTGCAGAGAGGCCCGGCAGTGGAGGGGAGCAGTGGACGAGGAGGACGGCACTGGCTGGGGTGAGTGAAGAGGACTCAGTCCTCCTGTGGGAGAGAGTGATTGGCCGGCAGCCACTTTGGAGTCAGGCTAGATAAGCCTGGAACCAGAACTGCTGCCAGCTTCCTCCAGCAGCTCCTAGCTGGGCACAGACCCATGGACTGTGGTGAGCCCAGTGAGTCTGGTCTCAGAGCAGGCCTGCAAAGGTTATCCACTACTCTGCCATAAAGCGGCTGCTGGCTTGCTGGGATACAGGGGCACAATTCAGGACTCTGTCTCCACAGGCTATGTACTAGCGAACCCAGAGAGGGTCCTGGAAGTGAACTATTTGGTTTTCTTTTTTTTTATTTTTCTTGTTTGTTTGTTTTGTTTTATTCAATTTGTTTTTTATTTCTCTTTCATTGTTTTTTTTAATGAGTATGAGTGTGGCTCTAACCTCTTTGTAGGTGTGGTTCTGTTCTGTTCTTCCTTTTATCTCTTCCGTCTCTTTTTCTTCAGTCTTCTGTGCCCATTTCCCCAAATTGGCAGGATCCATCTTTGTCCTACAACCTTACTTGTAATCTCTTTCTCTTCTTCCACTTCTCTATTTTCTCCTTAATCCATTTTAAATTTTAACCCAGGGCAAAATAATTATCTCATTTTTCCATTTTGTTATATAACCCCAAATCTAGTTCATCCAGTTAAAAGTTGCAAATTAAAGATGATCTCAGTTTGGTACCACTACAACCAAAATTGGCATAATTGTTCTAAACAGCCATTGGCCTTGATAATCCATAACTGAGATTAACTGAGGGTCACAGAAAATACTGGGACACTGCCAAAAACCAGGGACTGGGCCAAACAAGCAACAGTTTCTCATCTCCAACAAACTGAAGAGGTAAGATCTTCCAACCAACACAAAACCTCAAAATCAGCTACACCTGGAAGATACCTTGGAGAAGTAGTCATCACTTAAGTGGGGCATCTGTGTGCAATATAAGGGAGGAAAAGAGGCTTGTTTTCTTCCTTTTTTTGCTCTGGCTGCTGCCTTAAAGTGTTGTCCCTGTGCCATGTCATCCAGCCTAGGAGCCAGCTGATTATGGACTGAAACCTCCACAGTGAGCTAAATAAACCTTTGCTTCCTTCATTTTGGGTGTCAGGTACTTTGTCCCAGCAACGAGAAGAAAGTAACCGAGACACTCAGTGCTGGGATTACAGGAGTGTACCACTGCATCCAATTTATTTTTACTTTTTTTTTTTTTTTTTTTTTTTTTGTCTTTTTCTTTTTCTTTTCTATTGGTACCAGGGATCGAACTCACGACTGCCTGCTTGCAAGGCAGGTGCTTATGCCGCTGAGCTAAATCCCCAGCCCCCTATTTTTACTTTTGGACTGTGTGTACGTAGTGATGAAGAAGACGGTAATTCAGTAATGCTGGTGTAGTTTAGTGCTGCTGCCTTGAGCCATCATCTCCACCATCCTTTTGATCTGTGAGTGCAGATGTCAAAAGTGAGAAGGATAAACGTATTTGAATTACTTAAATAGTGGTCAAGCAAATGAAAAGATCCTCAGTATTTTTTGGCGGGGCCAGGAATTTTACCCAGGGCCTTTGAAGTGAGCTGTTTCCCCGGGCCCTCCCTCCATTTTTTTTTTTTTTTTTTTTTTTTAAGAGATAGGGTCTCGCAATGTAGTGCAGGCTGTCCTTGAACTCACTTTGTAACCTAGACTGACTTCGAACTCAAGGTGGTTCTCCTGCCTCAGCCTCCTGAGGGGTGGTACTACAGGCATGCCCCACTACATGCCCAGCCCCAACCATTTTTTGAATTTTTTATTTGTTTGAGACAAGGTCTTGCTAAGTCTCTTAAATTGGCAGAGTGGGCTTGAACTTTCAATCTTCCTGTTCAGGTTCCCACAATGCCAGATTATGGATGTGCATCTGTACACCTGACTTAGTACTCAACTTCTTAGTAGTCATGGACTCTCTAGATAAAAACAAAGATGGAATACTTATTGATGGGGAAGACAGAAGTTTTAAGGTCTATGAATACTGGGTACAATTGTTATGTTACTGTTCCTGATGCATCAGGAACTTTGCCCTTTGGCCCAGGGTAATATGAATTGGAGCAACCACATGAGATACACATTTTAGCTATATTTTCAGAGACAGGCTTACCTATGACCCAGCAGTTCTACTGTAGAGAAACCTGGAAATCTGTATAATGGGATGGATGTCCAAGAATGTTCATTGCAGCATTACTTGTAATAGTAAAAAATAAATAAATAAATAAAAGTCTCAATAAATAAAGCAAGTTGAGTTTTATTTTTTAAAATCTTAATTTGTTTTTAAATTATGTATCAGACGTGCATTAAACTGATTTTTGAGGTTAGTTTGCCACTTGAGGATGTATTGCGCTATAAATGTACATTTTTTAAAAATCTTTACAGGTTCTGAAGTGTTTTTCTGGCATGTTTTCAATCCTTTTCTTTATCTTCGTCCACCTTTTTTTTTTTTTTTTTTTTGTCTTTTTGAGACGGAGTCTCGCTGTGCAGTTCAGGCTAGGCTGGTCTCAAACTCACAACGATCCTCCCACCTCAGCCTCCTGAGTGCTGGTATTACAGACGTGAGCCACCATGCCCGGCTCTACCTTCGTCCACCAACAGGCTTCATCATTGTCATCATCATCACTACTACTGTCTCTGCTTCTCCTTGTTTTCCTGTCTGTTCTGTTCATCCTCTCCGTTTCTGCTCTGAACCCAAACTGGAATACAGATTGCTCTGAGCTCCTTCACACACCCACTTTTTAGTTGAGGCAGATTGCTAGAATCCTGTATCATTTTCCAGATCCTGCAGGAGCCAAGGGATGTCACTTTACACTATTTTGTATGTCTGTCTGTGACCCGTTTCTGGATAACAGCACTAATAATGCCATTTGCTTTCTAGACAGAAGAAAGGCAAAGAGAGGAGCAGCTCGTCTCATTTGACAGGTAAAGAATTATTCAACCTGATGGGTGTTTCTATCTTTAATTTTAAAACATCAGTGAGGAAAAAAGGAAAAATTAAAGGTGGGCTAGGGAAAAAAACTTGTCATCCAAAAAATATAATTAAGCAGTCAAAATTATAGACTTTTCTAAGGTCTTTAAATTATGAGATAGTATGCCGGGGATTTAGCTCAGCAGCATAAGCACCTGCCTTGCAAGTGCATGGTCATGAGTTCAATCCCTGGTACCGTAAATAAATAAATAATGAGATAGATAATAAAAATTCTAAGAAACTCCCAATATTTGTGTGGGGAAGAAAGTTTGACTTTCCAGGAATAAGTACAATCCCACAAATCTACAGATTAGGAAAACTTGGTTATTTTCCCTGTAATTTAGATACAAATTTTTCAACATTCATGAATCTTTGTATATTTACCTCTAAAATGAGGCCAATCATTCTTGGGAATGGTAGGAGGAGAAGCAATTTGTTTTCTTTTTCCTTTTTTTTTTTTTTTGCACTGGGAATTGAACTCAGGACCTTGTACTTACCAAGCAGACAGTTTGTTTTTGAAAGACGTTTCCCTTTTCTTCAGTCTAATCCATAGGTATATGTTCATGTTATTAGTTTGACATTTAAAAATGTCTTACCACCACAGATATGTATCTGTTTCCCCTACTACCATATGAATACCACAAAGGCCTCAAGGACTCTGTTTTATTCAGTTTTGTATCTCCAGGACAGGGAAGACATTTTTAAAATACTGTGGAGCTGGATGTGATGGCACACACCTATAATTATAGTACTTGGGAGACTGAAGGAGGAAGATTGTGAGTTTGAGCTCACCCTGGGCTACATGAGTTGTATAATAAGACCCCCTCTCCAAAAAACTAAAGTAAGCGGGGCACGGTGGCATGTGTTTGTAATTCTATACTGGGGAGGCTGAGACAGGAGGATTGCCATTAATTTGAGGCCAGCCTGGGCTACATGGTGAATTCAAGGCTATGTCTCAAAACAACAAAACAAGTAAAACAAACAAAAAAATGCCCCAAATGACATAAATATGTGGTAATAAATTGTGATTTATGTGTACTTTTCAAAAATGCATAAAACTGGATTTTTAAAAGTTTTTCAGGAAGACAGGATCTTGATGCATAACCCAGGATGCTCTTTTGTTTGTTTTGTTTTTTGAGACAGGGTCTCACTATGCATTTTGGGCTGGCCTTGAACTCATTTTGTAGCCCAAGCTGGCCTTGAACTCAAAGCATTCCTCTTGCCTTAAGTCTCCCAAGTGCTGGGATGACAAGCTTGTGCCACCACACCTGGTGTCAGGCTGGTCTTACATACTGTATTCACTTGCAACACAGGATGGCCTCTGAGTTTCACTGCAGCTTCCTGTCTCTGCCTCCTGAGCACTGGGATTATAGGGTGCACGACTATAGTGAGCTAATACGGGATTTTCTAGGTGTTCTGTCCAATATCATAAGTAATATACTTTTCTAAATATTTAAGTTACATTTTGCTAGCTTTGCTTTGATATTCTGTTATGAGTTATACAGTATAACCCAAAATACAACCTAAAGGAAATCCTCCAAAACCAGGAGTTGTGATTCTGTTCAATAAATTGGTGAAGCTGGGTATAGTGGCACACACCTGTAATCCCAGTGCCTCAGAGGCTGAGGCAGGAGGATCACACATGTTCCAGACCAGCCTGGGCTACATAGTTAGCTCAAGGCCAGTCTGAACTACATAGTGAGTCTCTATCTCAAGAAACAAAAACAATAATAAAGTAAATTAAATGAATTGATGAAACACTGGCAGGTCACATAGCCTGCTTACCTCTACCAATACAACTTGCCCTTTAAGAGTGGCTCAGGAGAAGATGGGGTGAGTGTAATTTGCTGAGTTCAAATCACAGGATGTACAAAGTTGCAGTGTCCCCCTAGGTAGAAAAGGCAAGGTGTCGCATCCCCCATAGTTTGCTGCTCAGTTTTACCTGTGGAGATTGAGACTTTTCCTGGCATATCAGACCTTTACTTCTGGATATGGGACACTGTGTCCTTTAGGACTTTGAATTGCAGAGCAACTGGGGTCCTGGCCGTGTGTTTGCATAGGTTCTGCTGGCAGCGGAGATGTAGCTGTATCTCATCCTACCTGAGGCAGATGGAATCAGCTAGCATGCTTGTCTCCCTGCAGCCATGAGGAGTGGAACCAGATGCAGAGCCAGGAGGACGAGGCAGCCATCACTGAGCAGGACCTGGAACTTATTAAGGAGAGGGAAACGGCAATTCGGCAGTTAGAGGTGAGAGCCAGGTCATGTTCTTGTTTGACTCATTCTATGTGCAGGTATGTGGACCTTCTAGTCTGAATTTTCTCTCAGTTATAATGAAGAAGCATGAAATGAACCATCGTGTTCTGTGTTGATTTAGTTCTGGTGAATTGGAACAGCTGTGATGTGAAGAATACCCAAACCCTTTCCTTATATTTTATATGATTTTCTTGTCTTGTTCTCTTTCTCTCTCTCTCTCTTTCTTTTTAATGTATGGTTTTCTTGAGAAATATGCATGGAAAACAAAAGCAAGACAAGTACATGTCTACATTAGGCAGAGGTCTGTGGAGAGAACCCTTTGGTTAGCCTGAATAGCTTAGGATAAAAACACAGCAGGAGTCTTATTCTAGTTTTCTATATTCTAAAGTCTATTTCCACGTTAGAAATCTTATCACTTCAGCAGATCTGAGCAGCTAGAATAGTTTTTGAGGTGCATGTTGAAGGGGAAGGCTGTACACTTTTCTTGTGTGAGCTCGACCTGGAACTTTGCAGTGTCCCCCAATATCCTAAACTCTGAGTCCCTCCATACAGGAAGACAACCGTAGCCCTGGGGAAGAGAGAGGAAAGAAGGGCAGTGGACAAGCGTGCTCCTTAACCTTTACCTATAGCAGTGGTTCTGCACACTGCACGTTGGAATCACCTGGAATAAATAATTTTAAATTATTTTTAAAATACCCCAGTTCTTTTCCTGGACCATCAGTTCTTTGATTGGACTATGTGAAATTCCTGTTTTTGTAGGTTTAAAATGGTAAATATCCACAATCTTATGGTTCAGCCTAATAAATTATAATCCTGGGAGTGAGATGCTAGTATGAATACTTTAAAGCCCTATGTGATTATAATGTGCAGCCAGAATTGAGCCCCCTCTCCCCTGCCTCTAGGACCATCAATGTCTGCTTTTATGTGAGAGAGTTTATCTTGAATTAAGCCATTTTGTTGCTTTCAAATATGTCTGTCTGTCCCTCCTTTCCTTCCTCTTTTCCTTCCTCTTTTTTTCTCTCTCTCTCTTGCTTATCTTCCCCTTCCTCTTTCCATTCCTCTCTCTCTTCCTTCCTTCAGTGCTGAGAATCATCTTTCCTTTATTGTCTTTTTTCACTGAATGCTGCTAATCATTGATTAGAAATGCTGCTATAGCAGCAAGGAGAGTGAGAGGTATAGAACTAAGGAGTTCTTCCTTAGTTCTTTAGCCCTTCCAAGCAACATTTCATAGGCTGAGTTTCCATTGTCTTTCTGCCTGTCTGTGTGCCTAGATCATTGGCCATTGCCTGTAAGTCAATTAAAATCCAAATGGAATTTTTTTTTTTTTGTCTTGTTAAGAATGATTTCAGGCCAGGGATGTAGCTCAGTGGCACAGTACATATCTGGTAAGCTCGAGGTCCTGAGTTCAGTTCCCAGTACCAAAGAATAAGAAAATACTTTCACTATACAGTTCAGGCTGGCTTTGAACTCACAGCGATCCTCTTGCCTCAACCTCTCAAGTTCAGTGGTTATAGGCATGGGCCACCATACCTGGTTTAAAATCCAAATGTGATTGACTTCCATCACAGCAAGGAAAACAGGATTCAGTTCAGCCCATCAAGCTGATTTGTTTTTACCTTCCTCATTTGGAGTAGAAACCTTACAGATGGGATGCTGGCCTTTCACTCTGGAACTGCCATCCACAGACTAAAGAGCTTTGTTGCTGAGTTGAGTTGAAAGCTGTTTATAGAGCACTGTCCCAGTGACAGCAGAATTTAGCAGTCCCTCACAGAGTTCCACAGTCAGTCTGGTAGTAAAGAGGCTTCCCGCCTGTAAATATATCCTCCTTGCATTCCCCAGTAGCAGGATCCTGAATCAGCCACTTAATTCTTTAGTCCCAGGTCCCAGTAGTCGTTGGGAAGCACAGACAGACTTTTACCATAATGCTCAGTTTAAGCTTTAAACCAAGAGAGCTATTACACTAAGAATTTGTCCTCCCTCCTACACTGGCTTCTGTTGTATGTTATTTGGGTTTGGGTGATTTTACTGGTTCTCACATAGCAGGTCCAGTTAATATTGTGTGTACCAGAGATGGCACCTGTAATCCCAGTCACTCAGAAGGCTGAGGTAGCTGTATAGAGCCCTTCTTGAACCTTGTCTTAGTCCAGGAAGTTTATATTTGTAATCCTATGGAAAAGTTATTGGAATTCCAGTCTACCGCTTCAAGTGTGACCCACAGAAGAATAAAGACCACGAGACATATTTATAGCTATGAGGAGTCAAGGGGTTCTAAGTCCAGCCAGGTTCATCGGAATAAAGGCCTTGACCCAGGGTCCAACACAGATTTTATTAATTTGTGAAGGAAGGAGTGGCTTGAGGATGGGTGACTGTGAGAATGGCGGGAAATATGTGAGTGCTGTGAGCTGGGCTAGGAGGCCTGAAATCACCTTTGCAATATGCAGAGAGAAAGATATGCAGAAAAACCAATTTGGGTGACATAATTGAGGTAGCATTTCATGTTTTGAGATTGGTGCTTCAGTTCTGATGTGTAAAATTTTGTGCCCTGGGAAGTCATAGTCTCTTAGCTTGAGGCTCATCCTAGTTGATGGTGTGGCTCTTCATCCCACCCTGTTCAACCATGTTTTTTGGGAGTCATGGGGCAGGGAAACAGCAACTGTTATCTAGCTTCAAAAATTACGAATCAGCACCTCAGCTTGCCCTGTTTACACTGCTTAAAGCCAATTGAAGGGAAAAGGAAATGACCTAACCAGCTTTGTACTTATCAGTACGTGGAGATAGGGCCAGATTTAGCCAAAATGGAGATCACTGCCCTTTGGTCAAGAAGAGTCATCCAGGTGGTCCTCCATATAGCAGGACAAGTTTAAAACCAGCCTAGGCAATTTACAACTTAGCAAGATTGTATCTCAAAATAAAAAAGGACTGGGAATGTAGTTCAGTAGCAGAGTACTTCCCTAACACGGCCCTAGGTTCAATCCCCAGCGCCACAAAAATTGTTTAATGAGCTTCTTTTCTTTTTTTATACTTTTTTTTTGTCTTTTTCTTTATTTTTTATTTTTATTTTTATTTTATTTTATTTTATTTTTTTGTCTTTTTCCTTTTTATCGGTACCAGGGTTCGAACTCACAACTGCCTGCTTCCAAGGCAGGCGCTTATGCTGCTGAGCTAAATCCCCAGCCCTAATGAGCTTCTTTACATGTCTTTTGTTTTATAATATTAGGTAGATCTGTTATAGAGAAAATATGCTTTCTAGAGCTTTAAAAACATATATGAGAGCCAGGTGTGGTGTCACATACCTATAATCCTAGCACTTGGGAGGCTAAGGCAGGAGGACCGTCCTGAGTTCAAGGCCTGAACTACATAGCAAGACCCTGTCACAAAAAAAAACAAAACAAAGCAAAGCTGTGCTGTAGGCATAGCTGAATGGTATATAGCACTTGCCTGGCATGCATGAAATCCTGGGTTCAAGTCCTAGCACCACAAAACCCAAACAAAAATGCTGTGATATGTTCATCAGTAAGTAAAGGAATCTTCTAACATGTTGCTTGTTTTTCTTTCTTTAGGCTGACATTTTGGACGTTAATCAGATATTCAAAGATTTGGCTATGATGATCCATGACCAGGGTGATCTGATTGGTATGTAATAATGATACTTTTAACTTCAAGGTGAATTGAAAGTATTTGTGTCCAAAGAAATCAGTGAGACTTAAAGTTTAGGAATATCATTTAAGAATTGTTGAATTCATTTTCTTTGCAAGTTTCTTATATTCTCAAATGTAGAAGGTAAAATGAGGTCTCTTTGGATACTTATCCCCATTTGCTTGTCATATCCTTTGGGTAAGTCTTTGTTTAGAGAAATAGTTGTCAGCCTCCCAGCTTTTATATCCAGAACCTTGTACAATTATTACATTAATAACTTCTTAAACACTTTTTATGTGGGAAGAATTGGTGCCGGAGATTTAACTCAGTGATGTAAGTGCCTGCCTGGCAAGCGCAAGGTTGTGAGTTTGATCCCCGGTACCAAAAAACAAAATAATAATAATGTGAGGAGAATCTCATTTATTTGCAATTAAAAATTGGAAGAATAAAAATACAAGACATTCCTTTATACCCTTATTCAGATTTTTTTTTTTTTTTTTTTTTTTTTGCTAACCTTCCACCCCATTTGCTTTGTTAGATTCTCCCACTTTCTGAGTTTGTGGGTGTGGGTGTATATATATAAACTTTTTCTGAACTATTTATAGGAAGGTTGCTTTATAATTCTTTTCCCCTAAATACTTTAGTAGTGTTTATTTCCAGAAAATAGGGCTATTCTCTTATCAAGGTAGTAACTTTTGATTTCATGGCTATTTATTACGGGTGATAGGACCCATAGTATCAGAAAGCTTTTCAGGGTGAAGTCTTGAAACATCTGAGCATGCTAAAATATCCACCATGCTTTTTGCAGATAGCATAGAAGCCAATGTGGAAAGCTCAGAAGTGCACGTTGAAAGAGCCACTGATCAGTTACAGCGAGCTGCTTATTATCAGGTAAAAGCAGGTGTACCAAAAAATCATTCTGTGTTGCAGACTTTATGGGCATTAGGATATGTTGACACCTTGAGCTGCAACCTCTTTCTTAGGCTCAAACTGAAGGCAAGTAGTCATAATTGTAGTACCAGTTCCATTTTTAGTATTTCCCATAGCAGAGAGAACTACTAAATCATCAAATCTTGAATAAACTTACACAGAAGCTTTTTAGCTACAAACCTAAGCCAGTAAACTAACATGATACCTAAATCTAATGTAAGACTAATCTTATATCCTAAAGAGCTGAAATATGTTTTAGTTCAGCAAGAGCTCCAGGTAAAGTAGGGATTCATAGATACTGTATGCTGACTGTTGCCACAGAGGATAGAGCTAGAATCAACTATGAGAGCTGCTTACATATGAGTAAATAGAGCTTAGTTATTATGAAACTGTTCCTGTAAGGTGAAATTCTTCTACATATTATTTGCAATTCTGGTGTTTTGTTTCATTGAGACAGGGTTTCACTATTCTGTTCAGGCTGGCATTGGACTTACTCTGTAACCCAGATTGGCCTTGAACTTGCAGTGACCCTCCTGTCTCAGCCTCCTGAATGCAATGATTATAGGTGTGCGCCAACATGCCCATGAAACTCTGGTGTTGTTTTGATTTTGGTTTTTTTGGTACCAGGGATTAAACTCATGACTTTGTGCTGGTCAGGGAGATGCTTTTGCCACTCAACTAAATCCCCAGCCCAGAACTCTGGTTTTATGATTTTTCTGATTCTTTATCTGAGTTTACAAATACTGACACTTTATATAGGAGCAATCTTGTTTATAAAAAGTTGCAAAAATAAAAATACAAAGCATGCCTTTATACCCTTACCAGACTTACTTTTTGTTAACATTCTGGCCTGCTTATTTCCTCTCAGTTTGGTATTGCATGGCATATTAGAAATAAATAGTATTTTAGCTATTTCAGTCACAAGTTTGAGGCTAGCCTGGGGTATGAATTGAATTTAGAGCCAGCCTAGACTACATAGTGCGACCCTATCGCAAACCAAAAAAAGAAAAAGAAAAAAAGAATTTATAATAATAGAAAAATGTTTATAATAGACATGAAGTGATAAAAGCTATGATCCAATAATATCAAATAGCAGTGCATACAGGTGAGCAATCAGAAGGAAATACAATCCAAGTGCTAACAATTATATCTGAACTAGGCATGGTGGTGCATGCCTATAATCCCAGCATTTGGGAGGTTGAGGTGGGAGGATCACTGTGAGTTTGAGACCAGCCTGAATTACACAGTGAGACTCTGTCTTAAACAAAAAATAAATTATATCCATAGATGGTCGTTTTCTCTTTCTGCTTGCCTAATTTTTACAATGAACACAAAATTTTTTAATATGTATAAAACCATTCTTAAAATACAATCACACATGTCTGGGATTGTGGCTCAGTGGTAGAGTGATTGCCTGCCACATGCAAAGTCATGGATTTGAGTCCCAGCACTGAAAAAATAAATGTAAAAATTAGATGTATGCAAATACTTAATTTTATTGCAAATAATGCCTAGCAGCATAGGTGTAGCTCCTTTGCAAAACTATTTGGGAATAAATGAAACCTGCACTACTGCCTTGCCCTGGTGACTGTTGAGATTTTGGGAAAGATCATTGCCTATTTGTGCATAGACAGAGAATTTTGAATTACAAGGAGGTAGATTTATGAAGCATTCTTGGAGTTTTTCTTAGAAAAAGCTTACTTATTTCATGAGTATCTTCTTTACGTATTTTTTTCCTTAGAAAAAATCTCGCAAGAAGACGTGTATCCTGGTGCTTGTCCTGTCAGTGATGATTACAGTCTTGGGACTTATTATCTGGTTAGTTTCTAAATGAAGTGTGATTGCCTCAGAGCCTTCTCCTGCTGAGTTATTTTCAAGGGCAAGTGCTTGTTGGAGTCTTCTTGCCAGAACAAACTGATCACAAGAAGAGAGCGTACACCAGAACATCCTGTAATAATTTAGTTAGAAACTAACTACTAACTAGTCCTTGGACGTAGTGACCTATGAAGACAGTATTTATCAGTTTATGTATACATTCTATTGATTTCTCAAATTAGGAATTTACATGGACTTTACTTTCTCTTATATTTTGATTGACCTTTGTCCCAAGCGTTTACTGAAAATTCCATTATAGACACTCTTTTTGGTAGGCAACACTACACTCTCATACTATTGTCTTTTTATGTATATACAAAATTCACCTTTTTTTCTAGTAACAGATGATTTTCTGGCACCCAGCACTGGAGTGTATCACAAACTGTATAGTAAGCCAACAGTTTCTATTATTTAATAATTTACTTTGAATTTCTAAGAAGTCTGTTCTCATTTTGCAAGATTTTGGCATTATATTTAACCAGAAAGTTAAAAATTACACATGTGATTGAGATTCAGTGAGAAAATTTGAGTTTATCAGTTGCTGGGGTATGTGTTATAATCTGAGTTTTAAAGTTTACTTTATTGTCTGCTAGTGTTGTCCACAGCAGTTCAACCTTATACACACTAAGCAAGAGCTCCCTTTTTAAAGAGATTAATCTAATTAATATTACTATAATGGGGGGGCCCTTTCCCACCTGTCTGCATAGAAAAGGAAAATTAGACATCGCATGCTTTTGGAAAGCAAATAGGAATTGTTTGGAATGATTTAATCTTTTTGTTATTGTTCACTTGTGGCTCTACATTCCTGGTGAATGGTGAATGTTGCCACCAAAAGACTGTCTGTCCTCTGCCCTATAGGGTATTTGATGGTAGAAAGATGAAGTTAGACTGAAGTTGAGTTTAAAATTTAGTCCTGTGGACCTGATGATAAAGTCAAGAAAGGGTTCACTGCTGTAAATAAGACTAGCTTGGAATAGTGATGTTAGATTCATCCTAATTTATGAACAAGAGATTAATCTCTCCACGCATAGTTTTAAAAAAAAGGTTTCAATAAAAGATTGCTGTCTTGTCATATAAATGTTGTCTACTTCACTTTTTCACAGGCCTAGAAAAGTTCAAGGGAACTTTTATGTAGGCTATCATATCATACAAACTGGGCCAAAAATTTTAGTTCATTCTTTAGTAAATTAGAGGATTTGACTACTTTAGATACATTTATATTCATTTCTTCTACTCCCCTTAATGTTTCTTAATCTTCTTGTAAAAGCTAATGTGAACAGTAGGGAAACAAGGACCCAAATGCGTAAGTTTCTTTGCACTTTTGCACCATTCCACCTACTTAATACAAATAAACATTTGAAAAGCTTTTGTAGTAAGTCTTTATGAATTAACATTCTAATGAGATATCATGTAATCTACTGTCATGGGAAAATTGAGACTTGTGAGAAGAATGGAGAGTGGGTGAGGGTTGGTTGAAGGGTGGAACAGGATCAGTGGGTGCTGCCTTTCTTTGAAAAACAGGGCTGGGCCATCGAGGTGGCACAGTAGCTAAGCAGCTGTGTCAGAAATGACTGATTCTGGTCACTGTCCTTTCAGCTTCAAATTACAGTTGACTTTGTCACATCATTCGTAACACTAAAGGCAAGAAAAAAGTATTGATTGCATAAAACTATTTGAATTTGGGTAAAACAAAGTGAGTAGTTCGATTCTGTCATTCTGTGTGATCCAGCAGTGGTTGTAGTGGTGGTCATGGAGAGCCACAGAACTTAGGCGAGAGTTTGTGGCAGTTGCCAAAAAGACTCTGTTAATGATCCTGATAAACCTACTCAGAGTCTTCGTTATCTGTATCTCGATTATCTTTGAGGACACTACGGTTTAGGACAATGATTCCTAACTATGGAAACACATTAGAAACTTTTAAAAAACACTCACACTTTGGCCCCTCCTCTCTAAGATTCTATTTTCATTAGTCTGGAGTGAAGCTTGGACACATGAATTGTTTTAAAGCTCCTGCTGATTTTTACATGCAGTCATAGTTGAGGACCATTGGTTTGGATGTCGAAAACTAGACCAGAGAGCAGAAGACCAAGGGGAACTTAGCTCTGCCATGAACTTGCTGAGGATATTTAGAGAAGTCACTTAACCTACAGGCCCCAGATTTTCTCAGGATCTCTTTTCCAGCCATAGAATTCTTCAGCTATAAAGATAACAGGTATTCTAGTCTGAGCATACAAATTGTATGTTCACCTCTGTATTCCTTGCTTTTTCTCCTCTATTTCTTTCACTGAAATGTTCTAGCAGTACTGGGTGTTCTCTTCAAATGAATTGAGATTGTACTGCATATGACAAAGCAGAAATGTCATTCTGGCCACTTCATCTGGGAATGTTTCAGAACAAGAACTTGGCAAATGTTCGACTGGTGCTCCCACAGCAGGCCACGTGCAACTGTGTTCTCAAGCCCAACTTACACTGCTTTTCACCACTGGGCAAAAGCATCACAGTCAAATCAGTAGTCAGTCTGCAAAGTAGAACTGAGTCTCCTTCAGTTTTTCTTTCTATTCAGACTTTCCTCAGTCACAGCAATGGACCTTTTGCTTTTGGTCAGTGAGAGTGGATCTTCACTCACATGTTCTTCCCTAGGGCTAGTAATCACTTGCTGCTTCCTAACTTTTCCAAGTATGTGTAGTGTATTCCTAGGCTTCAGGGGATTTTTCAGTATTATTTTTTAGCACCGCAAACTATGACTACTTTAGAATCTCCAGTTAACCAAGTCATAATTAAGAGATTTTAATTCTCAACTCCTGATCTACTTTTGGACCAACTGAGCAATTTTAATACTTTGCTAAAATGAAATTTGACTCACAACTAAGGACTTAATTTTTGTTGTAGTTTGGTTTACTAAAACACAATCTACATATTTTAAAATGTCTTGAAAGTATACTATTGTATAAAGTCTGACAGGCAAAGAACAGGACTTGGGGGTGTAGCTCTGTCATAGACTTTCCTTGCTAACATGGGCAAGGTTCTGGATTTCCTCATCAGCACTTCAAAAGAAAGAACAAGAACATTTTCACCCCTATCCCAAAACCTTTTTGTTGTGTTTTTGCAGTCAGCCCCTCCTATTCCAGCCTGTAGCTGCTGACAGTCACTTGTTTGATTCTTATCTCCACAATTTTGCCTACAAATGTAATCAGGCAACAAGTAGCCTTTTGTACAATTTTTACAGTTTATGTGTGGACAGTACTGAGGATTGAACCCAGCCTTTACACTTAGCTGCATCCCTAGCTGTTAATTTTTATTGTTTATTGATTGATTGATTTTGAGACAAGGTCTCTCATTATGTGGCACAGGCTGGCTTTGAACTTGCAGTGATCCTCCTGCCTCAGCCTCTCAAGGATGAGGGACTATAAGGGTGCACCACCATGTCCAGTTCTTTATTTTTGAGGCAGGCTCTCACTAAGTTGCCCAGACTAGGCTTGAATTTACGATCCTTCTGCCTCAGCTTCCCAGAGTGTTAGGATTACAGGCATGAGCCACCATTTAGGATTTAATTTTTTAAAGAATAAATTTGCAATATAATACAGTTTTGAATCCTGGGTTGCCGTTAAGGACCAAGTGTTTACCAGTCCAAGGAGAAAAAGGAATAATGTGCTGAGCTTACCTACAAGTTCCATCTGCATCCGGGATGTTCTCCAACCTTTTTTTTTTCCCCAGTGTTTGGAATCAACTCTGGTTCCACACATGCTAGACAAGTGCTCAGGTGCTCTACTACTAAGCCATATCCCTATTTAGATCTTCTTTAGACACACAGCATTTCGTTGATAACGTTTGTCATTTCATTTTTTACCTGAGAGATTATTTCTGACCTGATTTCCACTATAACTTCATGGAGTTGTTTCTTTACTTCATTTGCTGTCATTTCAGAAAGTTTAGTTGTGCAGTGTCCAGTGTCTTCTATTTCAGTGTCTCTTGGGTTTGTTTTCAGTGGGCTGGAGGACTGAGACTGCCTCTTGCTCTTTCATTTTGTCACTTTCCTCTGCGATACTAAGCTGTATCTCTAGATCCTTCACATCTTTTTGTTTTTTTATTGGTACATACTTGTAATACATGATATTTACATTCTGTGGGGGATTTGGTGCATATTTTGATCATTTTCGATCATCCTTTCTCTTCTTCCTTACCTCCCCCCTTTGAAAAAGGATATTTTAGCTTGATGTGGTGGTGCACACCTGTCATCTCAGCACTTGGGAGGCTGAGGTAGGAGGATCATTGTAAATTCAAGGCCAGCCTAAATTACTAGCAAGATCCTGTCTCAAAAAACTGACAAACAAACTAAAAGGGTATTGTACGTTTGGGGATGTAACTTAGTGATGGATCTGTGCTTAGTGTACAGGCTGTACGCTTGATTCCTAGCACACACACGCACACCAGATAAAGAATATTTTAATATTAAAATGGAAAGAATGATGTCAGACTTCATTTTATTTTATTCATTCATTCATCATTCATTCTGCATTATCAGGGTTTGAGCTCAGGCCTTCTCACTGACCTACAGCACTAGCCCTGTTTATTTTTATTTTGAGACAGGTTCTCAGTTGTTCAGGATGCCCTCAAACTTGCCAACCTCTTGCCTAGCCTCTGAACAGCTGCAATGACATGTGTGTGCCACAACCCCCAGACCTGTGTTTTGGGAGGTTAGGGTACAATGGATTCAATCCAGTGCTGTCCCACTGAGCTACATTTCTAGCCCTCTTTTATTTTTTACTTGGAGACATGGTCTTGCTAAGTTGCCCATGAGCTTGAATTTGTGATCTTCCTGCCACAACCTTCCAGAGTGCTAAACTTAAAACCCCATACCTAGCTCAGACCATTTTTTTTTCCAAATCCATTTTATTTCAAAGAGAAGAAAATAAAATTTCAAAACATGTCAATCAGTGGGCAAT